ACTTTCACGCATGCGTATTATTACTTTCACGCATGCGCATTATTACTTTCACGCATGCGCATTATATACTTTTACGCATGCACATAGTACAAGGTCGTGTTGTTTCCATGACTAATAATGACATTTGAAACACTGTGTAATGTGTGTCAAACTATGGCTAACGAAGATAAAAGGGAAAGTGATTTAAATGAAGTGGTCTTGCAGGAAAGTGTACTGGACACGCAAGTATATATGCTTTGATGTATCTTTCGCGAATTTTGATAGTGTTAGGTTATAATATTTAAAAATGTGTGAATATTTTATAGTGCGAGACCATTGCGAAGAAACGTCCTAAACGTGTGTTGCATTTTTCTGACGGGGATTTAGAAGAATATTCATCAGAAGATGAGGTAGATAAGTCGCAAGCAACTAAAACTGTAGCTGAAATTGATCCGGTAATTAAATACATACATTTATAATTATTTACTTATAATTTTTTTTTATTTATTTATCAATATAAATAAATTCATTGATTCATAGCGTGCACTTAATTGGATACCTTGGACTTGGCACCAAACAACATTCATCGGTACAAAATTATTGGATGGTTGTGATTATGTGGGTGAATGGTTGGCCAATTTTTTTGGTATTACGACGCCTAAATATCAATTTGAAATTGATGAATTTCATAGATTGCAAGCTTTACAAAATGAAATGATTCATAACAACGATTTAGAAATGGGTGGTTGGAACAATCAGAACAGAAATAATCTAATCAATGATCCCAATTTGATAAAGGATTAAGCATGCCTTTTTCTAATATCTTTTTTCTAACTGAAGTAATAGAAATTTATATGTAAAAAATAATTTGACGTATTGTCTTATATTTATATCTATTTTAACATCACAATTTTATACATAAGTAGAAAGAATTGTCTAGAAATAGTATTTTAGAAATCTAGCTTGTATTTTTTTTTTTTTTTTTTTAAATATAGCACATCAAGTCATAAAGTTAAGTCTTATAAATGCTTTATTAATTTTAGCGAATAATTTATTATTTACTTACCTTTCTTAGATGCAATCTTTTATTATTGTACTTTAGCACAGTATTTGAATAAGTATGATAATTAAAAATATTTAGAGAAATATTTATATTATTAATTTTGCATTACTTTTTATATAATGTTAATATTTATTAGTAATCAGATAGCATCAAAGAAAACTCTCAAATTATTAGTAAATATGTTTATATTTAATTAAATATATGGTTTTTTTTTCTTGCAGTATGACCAATGCATATATACATTACATTTTAATAACTTATTTATTAATGCTTGAAAATGTTTAATATGAACTTTTAATGATGCATTTTACTGTATTTGAAGTTTACTGTAGTAAGTGAATCGACTTAATCTTATCTTGTAAATATTTACTACAGTCTTCTATAAGAGGAACTTCATTAACACATACATTTTGTAAGTAAACAGCAAATGTTTTTTTTTTCTTCTTTCAATTTTTAATAAATTATGTTTCTGGTACAAACCTTTGTAAAGCACTAGTTAATGCCAATAATGAGCTTTGAAGGCCTTGAGGTAAATGCCTTTGTAACCAAGAACCTTTATACTGTTCTATATGTGCTAACATTTTATTAGCTATGTCAGTTCTAAATGTTGGTGGTAAATTATATACTCCTAAATTGATAATAGCAAGACCCATGTTACTATTAGGATTAATACCAGCTATGCTCAATGTTCTACCAATTCTACAAGCAGTCAGCATCAAATCAGCTGTTAATTGAAGTTCCTGAATTTCCATGGATGCAAATTTAGAAGATAAATTTCCTTCGTACAACGAATGAGAGATACGTTTGATTTGTTTCGTCATTTTCTGTTAGAGATAAAAGATCGTTCATTAGTTTAATATATAATATACAATAAAAAAAATTAATATCATTTTAAGACTAAAGATGTAAACTTACAGCAAATAGATCAGCCGGTAAATTTTCTAAATTAACATTATCGGGATCTGTCAGTAATCTGTATAATGTAGATCCACGATTGTCCGGTATTTGCTGCAAATCTTTAGCTGATTGATTTTTACTTAATGTCAATACTAATGTATCTAATCTGCCTAATTCTAAAATTGCACTTCCAATTTTATATTCTGAATCTTGAAAAATGTGGATATCTAGTAATTTTGTAATATGCTTTTGCCTATAACAAAATACAAAAGAGTTAATATTTTATTTAATAATAAAACATATATGTATAATCGGAAATCAGTTAACAAACATAATGTATTTAAACATGATGTTCGCTATCCAAATTGTTTGTTAATCGATCACCTAGTATACTCATATATATATATACAGAATGAAATAAAATAAAATCATACCTAATTAATCCAAATACTTCAGGCACATCATAATTATCTTCAATTCCTATATCTATATCTGTACTTGGATTCCACGAAAGTCCTGCTGCTATCAAATATCCAATCCAAGCAAATGGATGAGGAGTTAGATGATGACTTCCAGACCAATGAGCAACTACTATACCAATAGAATCTTGTTCGAGTGCAGTTTTGATTGCATTTTTTGTATTTATATATGTTGATGCTGGACATCCTGCCAAGCTATTGTAACTTGCTGTTCCTGAACTCGACAGAATATTACCTCCAGCTATTCTAAATGCTTCTGTCCATTCGGAAAAATCATAATCTGCCTGTAATATTATAAACATATAACATATATTCTTTTAACTTTCAATTAATTGTAACATTTGATAAAAAATGTACATATTTATTATACCTGAAATCCATATTCAACGAGAATAATATTTGAAGGAATGTAATTAAATTCTAATTTGGAATGTAATCCATTGGAACAAAGTAGTAAAGTTGTATTCGAATTTAAATTCAACATGTGCCATAATTCCTGAAGGCAGGAATACGATTTATAAACCTCCGACATATCTGTTTCTATTGTTTCATTTACAGACGAACTTTGATCTAAGTTTTCAGGCTGAACTAATAAACTAGCCAACCTTGGTCCAACATGTACATAACTGAGACTAGGAAAGACTGCAAGTAATTCTTGAAAAACAGGCCACATTTGTATGAGATGATGTTGTCCTAGATTGGAATCAACGTCCAATGTTGGTACTAAGTCTAAATGACGATCTCTATAAAAAAAAGAAAAATATTATATCGATGATGCGATATATCAAAAATATACAAAAAATATACCTGCAGTATCTATCAAGCGTAACCATTTCAGATTTAGTATAACAAAGTTGCCAGTCGCAAGTTGATGTTAGTCTAGAGTAAAGATGTAAATGAGATATTTTTAATGATGACCATAAGTCAACCATGTGTAATAAATATTCCAATGAAGGTATGCGACCTCTTGGTGAAATATCCAACAGTATTCCACGATGTATGAATCTTGGTTCATCTTTTATAAGAACAGGTTCTATTTCACATGTTTCAGATGTACTATCTTTTTTACTTAAACGCAATATTTGCACAAATGTGCATACTGCATAATGCAATCCAGGTAAACTTCCAGCGCATACTTTAATCGAGTTTTGAGAAATGTGTAATTGATAACCATGAGAAACATTGAACAAATTCTTATTCACTATACATTCTATTTTGTTCTCGCTACATAATTTTCCAGAACTTGGTTGAACTTCACCTATTTTTACATCATGACCTAATTCCAGTAAATGCGTTCTGCTAACTTCCCAAACATCTAATATTCTGTGTATGGATTCGCTGCCCTATAATAAAAAAAAAAAAAAAAAAAAACATGTCAAATTAGTATGATCAAATATAATAATAAGTATTTGAATATATTTCAATACCTGTATAATGGATATAAAAAGTTCTTTGCCGATAATAAATGGAGGTGAAAAATTTTTTAATTCGCAAATAGTTTTTGGTCGTGGCCAGAGTAAATTATAAATTCCTTCTTTTTCTGTAGAACTTTTGTTAGGACTATCTTTTCCCGATTCTTGTAATGGTATATCGTATACTGGTTCAGATGATTTATTGGATTCAATAGATAATTGGCTCATATTGCTCGAAATACTTTTTTGACAAAAATTTCCTTCCGAATGTAATGCAATTGGACTATGCATAGATTCATTGTCAGTAGATGTAAAATTGGATACAAATTTTTGAAAAAGACTATGCAAACTCTGTTTTCCACGTGAAAGATCATACGGTGTTTTTCCTGCAAATGTTCTACAAAAATATATGTTAATAACATTATAGATATGTAAAATGTTAGAATATGCGATATTATAATAAAATTGTTACCCTTTTACAGCTCTTATAAGAGGATTCGCTCCAGCTTGTAATAATTCATGACATATAGATAAATCACCACGACTTACTGCATCGTGCAATGGTGTAGCACCCCATCCATTCTCTGCATTTATATCTGCACCTCGATCTGTAAATGAAAAGCTGCATTTTTATTTTATCAGTATTTTGTATTACAATTAAGATAAAAGTCATTAAGCATAATCAATTTTACCAATCAAACAGTTAATGACATCTTTATTTCCATAACAAACTGCCCAGTGAAGTGGAGTATTTTTACTACCTTGCGAATCCCAGGAATTGATGTGTATACCTGCGTCTAGTAATTGTGTTACTTTGTCTATTCTGTAAGTGACATTCATTAATACATACAGTAAATATTTTTCATATAAGTTTTTTAATGTTCTTTTTTTGATTTGTTTTAGACTTACTCAGAAGCAGCAGTCGCTCTTAACAATTCTTCAATATAAATACGACGTATTGTATCGGTAGATGCTAAATCAACAGCATTATGTCCATTTGCATTTTGTATTGCTGGATCTGCTCCGCAGTTCAACAAAGTCCTTACGATATCCGCTTGGTTTGTCTAACATATTAAAACAATTATAAAGAAAAAGTATTGATGAAGAAAATACTAGTCGAAGAAAGTTGCATAACTTTTTTTTTAAATACCTTGGATGCATATGATAAAAAAGTTCCTTCTTCTAAGAGAGGTTGATTTAATATTTTGTCTTTTGTTATTCCTTCAGCCATAGAACCATTTTCACCTACATAAGAAAGAGTTAACATAACAATTAAATTGACGTTTAAATTAATTGGTTAAAATGGCCTATGAAAAGGAACATTTTTTAACTAAAATTATTTGACAGTGTTAATATAAATTGTGTATTATAATTTGGTGATGCTTACATGCTTCTAAAATGGATCTGATAATATCAGTACGTCCATGTTCAATAGCAGTACGAATATTTTCACAAATGTCTTGCATCTCTGCTTTATCTTATTAAACATCTAAATTACATTATTGCACCGCATCAAAAATAATCATTTAATTTTGTCAGTTGTCAAAAATCATACGAAGCGTAATATCGCGGTACAATTTATCGGCCTGATCAGGGGGATAAACTCGTAGGAGAGAAAAGAAAAAAAAAATAGTTTAGTTACACTCCTATACCATACATATTTTCTGTTGTTGCGACACTCCCGCACTCTACAGGATTTATTTCTAAATGAAATTTATGAGAGTTGACCAGTATAAACACATAATCTAGAATTATGATTGGTTGATATCGAATGAGTATACGAGTGACAAATTGAAAAAATTAAATAAATAAATAATATATTACACATCAAGTAAAATATTAAATGAAATAAAACAATCAAATCGTAAGTATTACAATGATATATTAGAAGTTATAATTTCCTCGTAAAAATTCGAATTTTTCCGCCATTTTTTTGAAACTTTAAAAGTTCCTAAAAACTAATGACAAATTAACAAATAGAATATAGAATTAGAATTAAATAATCATTCAGTTAAATATTGTTGACTGATATATGTTTAATAAGATAAAGAATTATCGATGTAAAGTGATAGATCGCTCACATGCAAACAGTTCGGTAAGATTTGAAACGCGACGCCGTGAGCGCCGGTATACCTGTATCTCGGCTATATCTACTACGCAACTTCCGCTAACTCGCTTGAGGAAAATGGACGCCTTTGTGTCTGTTTTCTTCGTATTCGCACTATAAATACTGTTTCCCCGCTATGCACCAGATTTGACATGGCGATGTTTACGCGGTACCGTGTAATATGCAAGTGAAAGTCGTGAGGTGATATTCAGTTGGGTGCTTATATTCGTGATCGGTTTAAAAACGCGATCATCCAAGTAGGCCACAACCACGGATTGACAATTGAGTGGATATCGTCTACGGGGAAAAGTTTTTTGCTAAAAGGCTCGACACGGTCAAACCCAACTATTTGGAGAACGCTCTATGATTGACTAGAACTTTATTTACGATTGAAAATTAATGTTCTCGCTAATGTGCACACTCTGCCCGCCAAAATTATATTACGCATAGTACATTTGAGATCATAAATAATCGTCTTGATTGCTTGGGGTAAGGCAATTGATACAACCGAACCTCCTTACATATACTTACAACTTTGTTTTTATAAGCTTAGTCAATACTTTATGAATTTTTATGTATATTATATAGTTATTGATATATTTTATTCTGTTATTTAGCAGATTCTCGTGTGTTCTTTTGGATAATTCTCTTGTATAAATATCATCCAGTGCTAATGTTTTCATATGTGTGATGTTGGATGGTAGACATTCAACGAAGAAAGGTAATCATTTAGATGGTACTTTTAATATGCTCATATTAATTATTATTTATATTTATCATTAATATTATTACGATTAATTCAATATTTTGATTAATAAGATTAGTGCATATTAACATGGATAATATCAATTATTGATATCATCCATGTTATTATTGTATCTGATCAATGTCATATATATATCTATCTATATATATATATATCATATCTTAGTTTTTATTTTCTTTCCGCTTACTTTTACTTGTTTTTATATTAATTAAATTTTTATTACTTTTGATAAATTTCTTTAAATTAATATAATATGTTATTATAATGTTAATTTAATTGATTTAATTAATTTTGACATTATTTTTCATTTTAGTGATATGCCATGTTGCAGATTTATTTTTTTTTTTTGTCCCTTTAAAAACTTTTAGTATAAACAAATTTGTTTGTAAGTTGGTAATATTCATATTAATTACAATTTAGATAAAAATTATAAATACATTTTTGTTATTATCTTATATTTTGATTAATGTTTAATTATTTGTTGTTATATTTAAATCACCTTTTGTAATTTTATTTTGAAAAATGAATGAAATGCATATATACTATTCATCATAATTGTGAAGTGTATGAAATGATAATTAAATTATTAATTTCTTTTTATTATTTATCAAATTTTCTGTTATAGGACAAAAAATTGGTAAAAATGGATCGATTATTGGAGGACCCACGTGCTTCATCAAAGTTTGGTTGAAATTTTCTTTTACAACATGGGAACTTAAAAGAGACTTCGTTAAGTTCCCGATATAACTTTTAGTGTTAGTGTTCTCTGACAAGAGTTGTTAGATACTATTCCGTTTAATGTTGATATGTGTTGAAAAGTTTAGGAAATGCAAGTACAAAAATAACAGCGATGATTAGTTTGAGTATATGTGGCAAAAGTGCTGCATTTAAATATATTTTGTTTCTTACGTCTATATTATATTGTGAGTAGAACTTTTATACAATGTTAGTGCAGTGCTTCATATATCGGATTGTTCTATGAAACCAGAGGGAAAAGACAGGAAAAACACTGGAATTGATTTTGAATCTATTTTTTGTCCAGGCTGTAATGCCAGAACAAATCAAATTCAAAATGAATGGGGTTATTCCAAGTGTGCCAATTACTACCCTCGCTGGTATCGCCAGTCTTACTGACTTGTTATCTGAAATGCCTCTACCAACACCGCTGCCCCAAACTCTGACAAACAAGTCTCTCCTGTTTCATCCAAGAGTGGCAGAAGAAGCACAAATATTGTTAAGCGTACGAGATGAAACTTTAGTGCCCCAACTGATATGTTCTTTGTCACAAACGTCGTCGGAACATATAGAATTGAAGGATAATTATGCTAATACTGAACAACCCTTGGAATCAGAGCAGAATACGCCGGAATTGTTGAAAGCCATTCTACAGTTAAATCCACACGTGTTTAAAGGACCTCAGTATAATTCTCCAAGAAATTGGTCTCAGGGTACTCAGCAGATGCATTCTAATCAATCACCAGCAAATTATGGCCGCTTCTCACCATCTTACTCCAATTCTTCAGGGTCCAGGCAAACGCCACAAGGTAGTCCTGCTCATCCTGCTGCAGCTAGAACCGTACTCCCACCACCTAGCGGTATCTCGCACGCGCAGCACCCAAGAATGCCAGTTACACCTCAAAATCATGCAGATATTTCACAAATGTCTCCTTTTGCCGTGCCTTCTCCATCTCCTAGAGGAAATGTTATGACGGAACAAACGAGAACATCTACTACGCCGCAGCATGTACAGGATGACTCCAGTTGTACAAATCCTCTGTCGAATATAGCTCCTCAACCAAATATGTATTCTCCAGCTCATATGAGTTCGCCTAGTACACCTTTGTCGTCTGTGGGTAATGTAACGCCTCAACACCATAATATGTCTGGTATGACGCCGCAACACAATATGCACATGACTTCTCCAATGCGTGCAAATATCCCTATTCAACAGCAACAACAACCAATGAACATGCAACAGAATGTCTATGATCCTACGATAAATCAACAAGTACATCATTCGTTGCAAAGTAACGAGCATATGGATATTAATAGCGGTGTTCAAGCTAATCAGCAGTTTCTATTAGATCCAGTTACTGGCCTTCCTGAAATAGATTTACCAATAGAGAATATTGAAACAAAACCAAGCATAGATAATACACCACAAAATCTATTGTCAGGTTCGCAGACCACCACGTCATATCCAAATCTTCATGGTGTTAATGTTGTTAATACTTTAGATCCTACTAATATTATACCAATGCAGCAGCATCAACAAAACAACAATTCAGACAAAATGTTAAAAATGCCCACTATACCGACAGACAAAATGAAAGAACCTGTTGTTATGTTGAATAGATTATCTGTAGAAGATCAGACTCTTATGCAAAAAAGTTTAGCTGCATTTGCTGAGAAATCTCCTAATCGTGCAGCAAGAATGGGAATAACCAATCGTGATGAAGTTAAGAGCGAATCTGACAGCGAAGAAGAAATAGGTAAACACAATAAATATTTTAAAGCACGTGCAAAGGAACGTCAGGTTCAAAAAGAAAAAGAAAGAGCGGAAAGGAAGAAAAGTGAAGATAAAATTCGTAGGAGAAGAAGAATATTGGATGACGATGAGGAGGATGAAAAGAAGGAAGGTATATATTCGCCTTCAAAAGCTAAAATAAGAAAGGTTGAGAAAAAACTAGTTCCAGTTCTATCTAAATTAAGTGTAGAAGAATTAATGGAAACTAATACGTATCAACGATTTAACTCAAACATAGAAACAATATTTGAAAATACAGAAGATGTTGCGACTAATGCAGAATTGGATGAAGATGGTGATGTGCCTCCAGAATTACTTATTCCTAAATATCAATTACATGATTTATGTACCGAAGCGGCTAAATTGAAAGCCTTAGGAGCAATGGAGTCTATTCCTGCAGATAGATTGGTTAGATTACTAAACATATTAGAGAAAAACATTCGTGATGGAGCACGAGTATCTCCCTTAGCAGATCCTGATGACGACGTCGAAGAAAGTAGATTGTGGACGCAGTTGGCTATGGAAAGGGTACAACGTGCTGTAGATGCCTCTTTGATATCCTTACATATTATGACATCAAGTAATATGCCGAAGACAGTTTATTTGGAAGATGTAATTGATAGAGTAGTTCTTTTCATGAAATTTCAATTGCAAAACACTATCTATCCTTCATTTGACCCTGTTTATAAAATAGACACAAAAAACAAGACTGACAATTATAATTCTAGTGGACGTAAAAAAAGGGGCCATATGAAGGAAGTTCGAGAAAAGAGTATACTTCAAGTTTATAACAAAATGCACGAATTGGTTGGTCTACTCGCCGAATTATTAAATATTCAAGTGTTAACGGATACCAGTGTTCTTCATGCATCAACATTAGGTGTAGCACCATTTTTTGTTGAGTCCGTTAGCGATCTTCAATTAAGCGCTTTAAAACTTGTCACTGTAATATTTACCAAATATGAAAAGCATAGAAGATTATTGTTAGATGACATTTTGGCATCAATAGCGAGACTTCCTAGTAGCAAGAGAAGTTTACGCACATATAGGCTAAATTCGGAAGATCACATTCAAATGTTAACAGCATTAGTATTACAGCTTATTCAATGCGTCGTGGTGCTCTCTGACAATGTTGTACCACAATCAAAAGGATCTATAAAGGAAGAGGATGATAAGAAGGAAGATAAAAAGGAAGAGAAAAAGCTTAGTTACGTTGATGCTGATGTCCTAATTATAAATAAGTACGAGACAGCGACTAGAATAGCTGGTAATTTTTTAACTGTTTTCCTTAACAAATGTGGAAGTAAAGGAGAAGAAATTGATTATAGACCATTATTTGAGAATTTTGTACAGGATTTATTAGCTACGGTGAATAAGCCTGAATGGCCTGCTGCGGAATTACTTCTGAGTTTACTTGGAAATTTATTGGTCGGACATTTTTCGAACAAAGGTTCGGATATGTCGCTTAGAGTTGCTTCTATTGATTATCTTGGAGTAGTTGCAGCTAGATTAAGAAAAGACGCGGTCAGTTCTCAATGTAAATTGTCAACCATCGATCAGATCATAAGGGACATTAAATTGGAACAACAAAAGGATGCAGATTATGATCATGTGAAGGACAAGGAAATCGTAGGATTGAGCGACGATGAAGAGAGGATAGTCTTTTTACAAAAAGTACTTTTAGATTATTTGGCTGTTAACGGAACAAAGGATTCAGCTTTGGTATGTGCTCGTCACTTTTATTTGGCTCAATGGTACAGAGACTGTGCAGTAGAAAAATCACGCGTAGGACAATCAAAGAATAGTCCAACTAAAAAGACACATAAGAAGAGAGCTAAGAAAAAGAACAAACATCATAGCAGTGATCAGGAAAGTGACTCTGAAGCTGACGATCAGGATGCGGATGAAAACGACAATAATGAGCAGAAAAATTCAGAAGCTTATAGGCTTATAGAAGAAAAGAAGAAATATATTATTACCAGAATTAGACCGTACAGTACAGGACATAAGCCGGACGTTTTGCAAACTTATATCGATTACAATTCGGCTGAACTCATATCTCAGTATCTTGCATCAAAAAGACCATTTTCTCAAAGCTTCGATCGTTATCTCAAACAAATACTTCACGTATTAACAGAATCATCTATCGCAATTAGAACAAAAGCTATGAAATGTTTAACCATGATCGTCGAAGCTGATCCAAGTGTACTTGCGAGAGTTGATATGCAGCTAGGAGTGAAACATTCGTTTCTCGATCATTCTACATCTGTACGAGAAGCAGCTGTTGATTTAGTAGGAAAATTTGTATTGAGTAGACCAGAGTTAATAGATAAATATTACGATATGTTGCTAGCAAGAATATTGGATACAGGTGTCAGTGTTAGAAAACGTGTTATTAAGATCTTGAAAGACATTTGTATGGAATGCCCAGATTTTCCTAAAATTCCCGAAATTTGTGTTAAAATGATCAGAAGAGTGAATGATGAAGAAGGAATAAGGAAATTAGTTATGGAAGTTTTTCAAAATATGTGGTTTACTCCTGTTAGAGAACGACCCACTCTTGATTCTGAATCATTATTAAGAAAGGTCATGAATATTACCGATGTTGTGGCTGCTAGCAAAGATATGGGTTTGGAATGGTTTGAACAACTGCTGGTTAGTTTGTTTAAACCAAAGGAAGATAAAGACGACAGCACGAAAATGCAAACTGAACCACCTAAGGCATTGTTGACGGCATGCAGACAAATCGTCGATTGTTTAATAGAAAATGTTCTAAGGTTAGAAGAAACTAATCTAGGAGAAGTGGGTAAATCAGAGAAGAAAGGATCGTCACAGCGACTAGTCGCTTGTTTAACTACGTTGTATCTATTTGCAAAGATCCGACCACAACTTTTGGTTAATTATGCTATGACTTTACAGCCTTACCTAAATTTGAAATGTCAAACACAAGGAGATTATCAAATAATAAGTAGCGTTGCGCACACTCTCGAGTTGGTAGTACCATTGATGGAACATCCAAGTGAAACATTCTTAGCACAGTTAGAAGAGGATTCGGTTAAATTAATTTTACAACACGATAGATCGGTCGTAGCGAGTTGTTTGTCGTGTTTAGGTTCTATAGTGAACAATGTTACGAGGAACTTTAAATTAATACGAGACTGTTTTAAGAAATATTATGGCCATTTAACGGAGTACAAATCGCTATTTGAGAAAGATCCATCTAATCCAATGTTATTAAAGTATAGACCATTTTTCAGAAGAGCATTGTTCACAGTCGGTCTGCTGCTGAGGCATTTTAATTTTACCGATCCGGAGGTCATCGAGGGTTTGGCAGACAACATAAAGGATCAAGTATTTGAAACATTAAATTATTTCGTCCATCAAGACAATGACGATATACGTCATTTCACACTATCAGCTATTGGTTCTCTTTGCATACGACATTATGAATTCATGATGGTTCCTGAATTGAAGGAGCTTTATCATCATTTACTTACATCTGAGAATGCATTGGTTCACATGAGAATTCAAGTTTTAAATAACATCGAGATATATCTTCAGGAGGAAGAAAAGAGAATGATAAAGCAGGATTTGGAATGGTCGAAGATGTCAAAACAAGAAAACTTGAAAGAAATGGGAGATGTTTCATCGGGAAGGGCTAGTACTGTAATACAGCTTTATATCAAACAAATATTAGAATCTTATTTACACGTAAACATAAGCATTAGACATGCTGCCCTTAAAGTAATACAATTGATCTTGACACAAGGTTTGGTGCATCCTGTGCAAATAGTACCTTATCTGATTTGCATGAGCACGGATTGCGAAAAAGTTGTAAGTCACAGTGCAGACAAACAGCTGCAGGATATCGAGAAGAAGTACCCTGGCTTCATTCATATGAAGTCACAGATTGGTATTAAACTGAGTTTTCGATTACAGAAGATATTACAGAATGACAACACTGTAAGAGGTATGCGAATCAAAGAGGGCGAATTTCCAGGTGCACTCAATGGTTTTCTATATACTATCTTAAGGAATACGAAACAACAGAGAAGGGCGATTGTTTTATCGTTTTTAAAACAATTCGATGAATGCGCCAAAACCAGTTTATCTCAAATGTTGTACTTGGCTGATAATCTTGCTTATTTCACATATCAGGTACAAGACGAGCCGCTATTTATCATCCATCATATCGATATTATCATATCGATGTCAGGTACAAACTTGCTGCAGTCTTTTAGAGAAGCCTTGCTGCCTAAGGAAGGGAGTAATCAATCGACGTCGCATCATCATCATCATCATCATCACCATCATCATCACAACCAACAGCAGCAGCAGCAGCAGCAGCAGCCATTTCAACAACAACATCAACAACAGATGCAGCAAGAGCAGCAGTCGCAGCAAGAGCAGCAGTTGCAGCAAGAACAGCAGCTGCAACAACAGTTTCACCAACAGCAGCAGCAGCAAGAGCAACAGCAACAGCAACTGCAATTGCATTTGCAACAGCAACAGCAACAAATGCAACAGCAGCATATGTTGTTGCAAGAACAACACCGAGATCAGCAATTCATGCAACCGCCTATGCCACCACCTATGCAACCACCTATGCAACCACCTATGCAACCGCCTATGCAGTCGGTAGGAATGGTAGGATCGAGCGAACAGCCTCGTACAGAAAATCTGTTATCTTTGGTAGACGAGGAAGACGACGAGGAAGACGAAGAAACGATTCTTGGAAGATTACCAAATGATACGACTTTGCTTCGAGAGTACATTACAGCCAGTCAAGGTTTTCTCTTGTTACTTACATTGAGACAACATTTAAAAGATCTTTATGGTTTCTCCGATGCAAAAATTGGTCAATATTCGCCATCGGAAGGGGCCAAGATTTACGAGAAAGCTGTGAATCGTAAAAATAATCTCTTATTTAAACCCAAGGCGACGTTACAGAGGCTGAAGGAAGGTGTAAATACTGCGGAACTCGACACAGAGGGTAGGAAAAAATTGGTTAAGGAGTACTTGGACTTTAAACAATTAATGCTAAAGTACGATCCTGAAGAACCAGATGAAGGAGAGGACGGTGATACTAGTGGTAAACAATGTAACACGGATAATAATCAATCATCGAGGATTCCTAATCTCGAGGGTGATAATAAACTGACCGATGGTGCAGTGACGAGCAATACTTTGGTAAATGCTCAATATCATCCTAATTCTACGATGAATTCGTCTATCGAGCACTCGAACAATTCAATGAATTCATCATTGACATCGACTCCGACGTCTCCACGTGTACCCAAACTTACCATACACCCGACGAATCCTGACATGAAGGAACATCGTAAGCATCGTTCGCACAAGACGGAAAAAGTGAAGAAACATAAGAAGAAGAAGAGGAGAAGAATCTCCGATAGTAGCGAAAGCGGGGAGGATTATAGTGACCCTGATTTTCTAGTGTGATGATGAGTGCGGTGGTATCGGGCCCTGTGTGTACATAGACTTATACTCCTTCGGAGTTTTTAGAATATTCAAAGAGCTGTTCTGGTATCTCCATATGAACATATATATATCTATATATATATACATATACATTATTATACACATACATATATATGTATATACTGTATATCAGATCAGATGATTTTTATCAATGATATACCAGTGCTGCTCTTTAGACGCTCGATTAAAAAAAAAAAACAAACAAACAAACAAACAAGCGCAATGAACTTTTGTTAAAGTGAAATGGGACGATTCTGCAGAAAAGTACTAACACAAAAAACAAAACAAAAGGATATACTGTATAAAGTGAGAGAAAGTAAATGATAGAATTAGAGTATGAGAGTGTGTGTGTGTGAGAGAGAGAGAGAGAGAGAGAGAGAGAGAGAGAAAGAAAGAATGAGATTGGTGGTGCTGCGGTTAATATATGCGTGCGAGAAAAATCTTCGATGCAAGCGAATTATTATTTTGTGAAAAGCACACTTTGAGTCGTTTTTACGTAATTAGAATTACTTTGTTTTATTAAAAAAAAAAACAAAACAAAAACAAAAAAGCATTACATTTAAGATCTCTCTTCGATGTGGGACAAAAACGAGACCGGGTTTCAGCTTATTTTTCATAATCATACTGCGTTATATACGTGCATGTTTTATATCGATGAATCCTAAAAAATTTAACGGGTTATTATCAACCATTTTTTTTTATATATATATATTTTTTTCTTTTCATTTCTTGCTTTCTTTCTTTCTTTCTTTCTTTTTTTTTTTTTTTACTTAGGTATTCTATCCCTCGATAAGTAATTAATTAATCGTAATTTGAGTAAATTCACGATCTGCATTAGCACCAATAAAAATAATCATATTTTTTCTTCTTTTTCTTTTTTTTTTTTTAATTATTCTACCAAATTGTTTATCAAATTTTACTTCTTATTTTCTTTTTTCTTTTTTCTTTTTTTTTGTGATTTATGTATTTTTATATAATTATATATATATATATATTTCATTTTTTTTTTCTTCACTTTAAATTTGATAAATCTTTTTTTCGTATTCTCGAGTCTACTACGTGGGGTTAATGGAATCTTGTATCATTAAATACAAATATTCATTTGTTAAACAACAAACTCAATCGAAAAGATAAAATTAACAAAACAAATAAGAGGAACTTGGTTTACTTTTTTATTTTTCTTTTTATTTTTTATATATACGTGTGTGTATATATATATATATATAAATAAATATATATTATTTTTTTTTCGTTTCTTTTTGTATAAAAATTAAAATGGCAAATAAAAAAAAAAAAAATCAATGATAAGTTCGTTTGTTCTAGCTTAAAATTAAATTCAATTTTTGTTGTTGTTGTCGATGGATCTCGAATAGAGATCATTATTGATCATTATTGATCATTCGAGAAACGTCCATAATTAATAATAATACACCGAACCAAGTTCCCTGTCGATTATCTAAGTACAATGACGCGTTAAACAAATTTAAATTAAAAAAAAAAAAAAAAGAAAAAAGAAAAAAAATGGTTAGATAGATGAAAGGAAGGAAAAAAGAACGGAACGAACGAACGAATGGAATAAAGGAATGAAAAGAAATGGATAAAAAAGGATTAATTAAAAAAAATACATTGCATCCGAACAAAATTTCAATGTAAATATTACAATAAAATAATAATAATAAATAATAAATAATAAATAATAAAATGAAACAACGTTTAGATACGAATGTTGGGTTTAAAACATGAAAAAGAAACAAAAAAATAAATAATAATAATAATAATAATAAATAATAATAATTAATAATAATATTACTAAAAATTAATAATTAATATTAATAATAATTAATAATAATAATTAATAATTAATAATAAATAATATTAATACAATAAGTAAGAATATCGACCAGCGCTCGATACAAAAGCTAAGATTAAATAAGTGGGAGGTGAGCTTTTATGTAGTGATTTCAAAAAAAAAAAAAAAAAGAAAAAGAAAAATAAAAAATACATGTGTGTAACGTTTAAAAACACCATAAACTTTACACGACGACGCTTTCCTTCTTTTTTTTTTTTCTTTCTTTCTTTCTTTCTTTTTTCTTCTTTTTTTTCTTCGATCGAATTTCAAAGTATATGGAATCAACGTTAAGATCTATGAAAAAAAAAAAGAAACAAAAAAATGGGGGAGATAAAATATGGGAGGGTAAAATAATAGAATTAAAATATAAAATATATAAAATATTATAATATTATGAAATAACATAAAGTATAATATAAAATTAAAATTATAATTAAAATATATAGGGCGGACCTGTTAGACTTGCTCCACAGCAGCATGTATAATAGAAGTGTGTAGTAAAACGCATTGCCTATGCATTATATAAAAAAAGAAGGTGTGAGAATGCGGAAGAAAAGGTGATGGAAAAGGAGAAGGAGAAGGAGGAAAGAAAAAGAGTGGGTGGTGGAGAGTGGGTGAAGGAGAGAGAGAGAGAGAGAGTGGATGGTGGAGGAGGAGGAGGAAGTGGAACAGTTTAAGAAATAATAATAATAATAATAATAATAATAATAATAAAAAGTAACGTTGTTTGTAATATGTGTATATAAAAATTTCAAGTAAAGTATCTTATTTTCTTACAAACAATATAACGGTGACATTATAAGAAAAAAAAAACAAAAGAAAAAAAATATTTAAGATTTTGTTGTAATATTAAGTATTTATTCAGAATTCATGTTGTCCCATGATATATAATATAGTTTGCTTTATGCACATAAATAAAACATACACACATGAAATATATGCATACACTTATACATTATATATATATACACGCGAACACACACATAACACATACACACACATATTAAAACATATGTACACAGAGACACTCGTCTTTGGTCTATTTCAAAATGGTATCGTTTTTATACAAACATGCTTAGAAATAAAAAAAACTTCTTAATTAACAAAACAAAAGCAAAAAAAAAAAGATTATCGCGTATTAATCGATGAAATTTAATAAATAAAAGCGTGAAAAGAAATGTGTCTATTACAAAAATAATAATAAAAAATATTTCAATGATTTTGTTTTGTTGTATGACGGTAGAAGAAAATAATCATATCGGGGTTGTTCCTCCTCGTGGTGGTGGTGGTGGTGGTGGTGGTGGTGTCAATGAAAAGGAAAACAAAAAAAATAAGTGTTGATGGCCGCGAGATTCGGAGAGAACGTTTTATATCTCGTTTTCTTCGTCCCTTTCTTTAATACAAAAAAAAAAGAAAAAAACAAAAAACAAAAAAAAATGTCGGACTTCGAAGACGTTACAAATTCAATTTTAACTTTTGAATTTTTAAATGACAAGAAGAAAGACAGAGACTTAAATTAATTATTCGCCGAATAAAAATCAGCAAAAGTTAAGATATGAACTTTTCGAATTATAATAATAGAGAAAAGTAAAAAAATAAAAAATAAAAAAAAAGTAAATAAAACGTGCAAAAAAACGAGAATAAATAAAATATAATTCGTATTAACCCTTTGATTGTGGCGCACTCTCGAACAAATCCATTAAATATGAACGGGGCGCAATTTTTGCATTCGTCAGTCACTGCGACTAGTTTTTAAAAATATGAATTTTTGTTGCCACGTTGTTTGTCCGCAATGGACTCGTAAACTACTGAACCGATTTTAATCAAATTTTACACACTGTGTGCAGTTTCATCTAACTTGAAAGATAGGATAGTTTATATCTTAATTTATAATCGCAATATTTTTTTTTCGATAAAATTCTAACAAATGGCGGTATAAAGTAATTCGTTGATTTAAAGACGTGTGTATTGGACTGATTGTGAGCCACTGCAACGCGTGATGGGGCCACCCCTATTTAAATATAAAAGAAAACAAATAATAAAACGATAATAAAAGAACAAAGATAATAAAATTAAAATAAACAAACAAATTTCAAATACAAAAGCAATTAACTATAAACGCCATTGAAATAATTGCCAATTATTTAGTTGCTATGTTACATATCACAATAAATTCCATGTTTAAATTAATCGGTAATACAGCAATAATGGTGTTATAGTAAAAAAAAAAAAAAATACAGAGAACATATATTTACGCTTTTCGTGTTGTATATTGATGGATTTGTGAGAACGTATATATACGTCTTTAACAGTCAAAGGGTTAAATATCGAATGCAATAGCAAAGAACAAAAGTGGCAACTGTGATGTTAGACGTAAGATCGGAGGGCAGGTGTCAAATATGAATTTCTTTCCTCCGAGATATATAAAATTAATCTTTTTTATACATTTATAGATTAAAAAATACAGATACAAATTACACAAATATATACTAAAGAATTTTGGGACTGTACTACACACACACACACGATGACTATGATGATGAGACGACTAAGACGATGACGACTATGAAAAAATTCATTAAAAATAGATCTCACACATTCTCTCACAGATATAAATACATATATACATGTATACATCTACACACGCTCACATACTGCGTACTATGAGTTTAATCAATTAAATCAAACTCGGAACACCATTTAGAAATATGTAATGTGTAATTTTCACGAGCGAATCTTCGAATATTTTAAGATAATCGAAAATGATGTATAATCATCACGTGTGTTTTTTGAATATGGTGATTGATTCATATATCTTCCTTAGGTCACTTTAGTCGCGCATTATTAGGATTTACAAAAAAAAAAAAAATTTGAACAAAAGTAATAAAAAAAAAAAAAAATAACCAAATAAATACAAAGTAAAGAAGAAGAACACCGACCGACCGACATGGGACGAAGGAAACGATTGAATTGAATTGAATTGAATTGAATTGAATTAAAAAAAAAACAAAACGAACAAGAAAAATAATTTAAATCGAGCCAATTGTTTTTTTTTTTAGCGGCTAAAATCAATTTCACAAGAACAAATATTCTTATCAACATTTATTTCTCGTTGCTGTTAATCAAACTCGAACAATATTTTTTGTTTTTGTTTTCTCTCTTTTTCCATACTACTGACTTCCTTATACTATTAGGTTTTTTTTCTTTCTCGATCATTATTCTCGAAATAAAGAGCGAAGAAAAAGTGATGACAGTGTGTGTGTGTGTGTGTGTTAGTGAGTTAGTGCGAATGTTGAGAGAGTGTACGCGAGATAAATGATAATGGTGTATGATGTGCATTTATAAAATAATATTTGGAATCTTTTTTAATTTGAAAAAAAAAAACAAAACAAATTCCTTGTACATTTTTGCTCTCATAAAAAAATATTAATCAAAAAAAAAAAAAGAAACAAACAAACAAACAAAATAAGAATTTTAATTCGCGCAAGTTTTTTTGTTAACTAACGCATAATCCACACACGGAGGAAAATAAATTAATTAATAATAATAATAATAATAATAATAATAATAAAATATTATCATTCGTTTTTAATTACAATTGATTTAAAAAAAAAAAACAATTCAATGGAAAAACCTCATAATAAAAAGAGAATAAATAAATAAATTAATTAATTAATAAATA